AAAGTTCAGATTTATCGTTGTCAACAAATACCATCATTTGTTTCTCTTGAAGGGACATTCATACTTGAGAAAATATCTGCCAGATATTCCTATATGAAAAGCCATAGTCAATTATTTTTTCAGTTGATAATGGTGATCTGCCCCGAAGGTTCAGCAGCATTATGCTGTTCCTGAAAACAACCACTGTACTTCAGTTTGCAGAAGTGTTTCATGTGTATTTTTCATTTTGACACACAGAATATTTTTAAAAATGTTACTCAAGACTTAATAATGTCTTTGCTTTATCAAGGAACTTACAAGTGAAACTGGCTTCTTTTCTAAGAATGGCATTTCTTTTGAAATGGATATATATATATTTTTATTAAAACATGGGTCCTCCCTGGTGGCACAGTGAGTTAAAGCACAGTACTAAGAAGCTAAAGCCACTTCAGCATGAGTTCCATCCCTGTCCCAGAGGTGACCCACATGGTATGGCAGACTCTCCTCGCCTGCCCTCTGCTCCCCTCAGCAGTGTACTTCGTCAGTCAGCCTGTTCTGCTCCCCTCTCTGTCTCTGGTGAATCCTCTCACTGCCCCTGCACCTCTGGCCTGTACCCCAGTTCTGTGTGCATAAATAAATAAATCTTTAAACACTGGGCATGCATGGCTGTGAGAACAGAGGCTCCTCCCACAGTTCCATGCCTCTGCCTTGACCTTCACTAAGAAGCCAGCGATTCACTCATAATTGTGCTTCTTTAGTGCAAATCACAATGGAAAAAGCAAAAAAAAAAAAAAAGCCATTGGGTTAATATGGAAATAGTTTTGACCTCATGGAGTCCCTGAGAGGCTTCAGGGTTATTTTTTCTGCCTCCCTCATTTTCATGGACCAACCCTTTGAGTATCTAGATCGTTGGGACCAGATACCAAGGTTACTTTTAGAAGTGGAAAAGGTGGCAGCTGAGTGGAAACTAGCAATTCCTGCTAGGGAAGCAGCATAAAATTATGTAATTCAAATAACTATGTATTTCTCAATGTTAATTAAAGGTGAGGTTTTTTTCTTGAATAATTAAATACATTTGTCTAACATAGATAAACCACTGTATTTAGTGGACATAAGCACAATGTTCCACTTAGGACCAGTTTTTTGTTTTTTTTTTTTAAACTTGCCCGTTTGTATCTTTAGACTTCTTCATCTATTTCTACTGTTCAAGAGCTCCTGAAGAGGTAGGTGTGATCAACAAGAGTTAACATCCATTCCTTCATATATTTTATTATTTTCTAAAGATTTATTTATTTGTGCATACAGAACTGGAGTGTAGGCCAGAGGTTCAGGGGCAGTGAGAGGATTCACCAGAGGCAGAGTGGGGTGCCCAACAGGCAGGTTGATGAAGTACACTGCAGAGGGGAGCAGTTGGTGTTCAGGAGAGGTCTGCCAGACATGTGGGTCACCTCTCTGGCCAGGGATTGAACTCGTGCCAAGTGGCTACGGCTGGGTTGTAGTGGGGCATGTTAATCCGTTGTGCCAGTAGGGAGGGCCTCCATTCCTTCATTTATTGTTTCATGATGCTGGGAATAGTGTTGAACAGACTGTCACTGTCAAGTGGGAGAGTGTTAGACAATCTCACAAATACCAGTATGATTCCAATTGCACTAAGATTGATGAAGGAGAGCAGGAAGCTCTGAGACTAAACCTGGCCTGGCCCAGGGGCTAATGAAGGCTTTTTTGAAGAAGTGAAATTCAGCTAAAATCTGCAGCACAATTTGGAGATGGCCAGTTGGAAGCAGAGTGTGGGTAGGGACCAGGCATGGGTTATGGGACAGGCAGACAGGAAAGGTCTGAGTAGGTTGAAGATCCACTTGGGAATTCCATCTTGGCTGTAGGTGGCGGGAAGGTGGCATGGGAAGCAGGTGGGGTGGCAGCCAGAGGTGGAGGCAAGGGCCATCACTGACCTTTTTTCAGTTCCTAAAACCTACCAAACACTTCCCTGCCTGAGTCCCAGACCCGTGCAGATCCCTCTGCCTGGAACACTTCCTCTGTTCCTCTTTGGGCCTCAACTGCAATGTCACTCCTTTATAAGCAGATCTCCATCTCTTTCTTATACCAGCCCTCTATTTTCTTCATACGGCAGCTCTACTTTCATCTATCTTTACCGCAATACTGTAAGTTTCTGTCAGTTGTGCTCACTTTATGTCTCTCATGCTTAACTGTCTTTTTTTTTTTAAGATTTATTTATTTATGCATATACTAGGGTAGAGGCCAGAGTGGGGTGTGGGTATAAGTGTGAGAGGGTTCACCAGAGACAGAGTGGGAAGCAGAGCAGACAGATCCACTGAAATACACTGCTGAGGGGAGCAGAGAGTGAGACAGGAGAGGTTGCTCTGTGGCCGTGATTGTCCTCAGGCTATAGCCATGATAGTTCTGAGCCCTAATCTCTAGGCCACCAGGGAGTGAACCTTAACTTCTGTGCAGTCAGTGCTCAGGAATATTTGTTGGCTGAATTGGTGAATGAGCAAGTGGACAGAGCTGGAGCTGAGATCCGGGTTCAGTTCCTTAAGAGCTGTGTGACTTTGGACAGCTTATAAATCTACCCTGTGCTCATTTCCTGTTTTATAAAATGAAGATCATACTTTCTATCTCAGAGTGCTTTTGTGACACTCAAGTGCATGGACAGCACCTAGTAGAGGTCTGGCTCCAGAGAGGTGCTCCTGTTAGTTATTTTTATTGTGTCTTATTCCCAGTTTTGTGCTTTTTTCAGTGCATTATAATAGATGATGAGTAGACAATATTTTACCCTGGATGCTGAAATGAACATCATTACTAATTTAAGACAATATTTTTTATCCAAGTTATTGTGCTTTTTTCAGTGCATTATAATAGATGATGAGCCTCAAGCCTCACTCAGTCCCCTCTGAACCCCTTGTCATAGCAACACAAACAATATAGGACCTCTGGGCTCATGTGATGGCAGCATAGTGGGAGGAACAAGAGGGAGGGAGGAAGCAGCTGGTTCCACGCGTGGATGGCACGAGGGACTGCCGAGAACAGACCAGACTGGGTAGTGCTAGTAGGCCAGTTTTAATCTTCTTCAATATATTTCCCTATAAAATTTGGCTGTGAAATAATTTTAGGACTTTGAAAAAAGCTGCAGAATAGTAAAAAGAGTTGAAGTGTGCTCTTCACCCAACCTTCCCTAATGTGAACGATTTACACTGTAATGCAATGATCAAAACCAGGAATGAACACTGAAATGAGGTCAACGAAATTTCATTTGCAGTCACCCGCTCTCCCACTAATGGTTTCTGTTCCAGGATACAACCCAGGATCCCACAGTGCGTTTGGCTGGTGTATGTCTCCTTAGTCTCCTCTAGTCTAAGACTGTCTCCTTGTCTTTCATGACTTGCTATTGGTACCAATCAGTCATTTTGTAGAATATCTAACAACTTGGGTTTGTCTGATGTTTTCTCATGACTAATTGAGACTGTACATTTTGGGCAAAAACACCATGGAAGTGATGTTGCGTCTTCGGCACATTCTACAGAGGGAGAGAAGCTGTTGTTAAGTCTTATGAATGATGATGTTAATCACATGGTTAAAATATCGTCATATTAATGATGATGTTCATCTCAATAACTTGGATAAAAAATATTGTCTTAAATTAGTAATGATGTTCATTTCAGCATCCAGGGTAAAATATTGTCTACTGGATTTCTCTACGATATACTTTTCTTTTTGAATTACGTTAAACAAAAAAATTACATGTAACATTTTTAAAAAGAATTATTTATTTTATTCATACAGAACTAGGGTACAAACAAGAGGTATAGGGGTGGTGAGAGGATTCACCAGAGACAGAGTGGGGAGCAGAACAGGCAGATTGATGAAATACACAGTTGAGGGGAGCAACGGGCCGATTAGGAGAGGTCTGCCGCCATGTGGATCACCTCCAGGTCCAGGGATCGAACTTGCACTGAAGTGGCTATGGTTAGCTTATAGTGCTGTGTCCTAATCCGTTGCCTTACTAGGGAGGGCCCCACATGTAAATTTTTTTTTTTTATATTTCAAAGCTAATAACATTTAGATATGACAGTTAAACAGATGTTCCCAAAGAGCCTCGATAAATTATCATAGACTCACCAGATAGGCAAGACAACATGTATGTGCCTTTCTGTCATCTGACAGCAAGATCCAAGACTGGTTGTCTTCAGGCATTTTAGACTTAGTGCAGATCAATGCCATACAAACATTGCATGTATTTTATTTGTGGATACTCAGTATAATTTCCCTTAATAACTTCATTCTCATTATCTGTGTTCCCACATGTAACATTTTTAATTTTAAAGTAATAATAAAAAAACTTCAGCAAAACAAAATTTGTATAAAATAAACTTCCCACAAAATCCGCCTCACTTGTCCAGAGGTTACTTACCGTTCTTAGAGATGTATCCTTCTAGATCAAATTCTATTCACATACCCATAGATAATGGGACAAGTCAACTCTTCATTTTGTTTTACTGAATATTATTGGTGCTAACTTCCCAAGTCAGTACAGTCAACTATAACTCATTCTTTCTAATGACAGGTTAATATATTTTTCTCTAGGTTACTTTACTATACTTCTCTGTATTTTCTATATTTTTAACATTTCTATTATTTTTTCATTTAATTTCAAGTTTCTTCAACTTTATTTCTTTCTTAAATAGGAAGATATTGAAATTTTGCCAGAAAATTAAAAAATTTAAAATCCTCATGTCTTACCACCAGAAAAGAAAAATGATCTAACATTTTAAGTCAAATATAAGCCAGAGAATAAGAAGACATCTTATTTTAATAGAAGAAGAAAAAGAAATTGAATGCCGTTAATTTCATGGACTCTGAAGTATCATTCATTGTAGAAATACATCACTGTTTTCTATAGAAAGGGAAAAAATGCCAATGAATTGGAACATGTCATTGATTTTAGAGTTTTTAAAATGTGCAAAATGGTAGTCTTCGAATTGATGAATTTGGCCCTTGCTTAACAGGTGTTCCCGTGTGGTCTTTCAGGCACCAGGAAGGCCATACGGTCGGCTGCTCCACCTGGTCCAGAGTGATGGAGTCAAGTGGCTTCTCGCGCGTGGACTCTGAGTTCAGGTACACCCTCTTCCCAATTGCTTACAGCATCATCTTTGTGCTGGGGGTCATCGCCAACAGTTACGTGCTGTGGGTCTTTACTCGCCTGTACCCTGTTAAGAAACTCAGTGAGATAAAGATCTTCATGTTGAACCTCACCTTGGCTGACCTGCTCTTCTTGGTCACACTGCCCTTGTGGATCATCTACTATCACAACCAGGGCAACTGGATCCTCCCCAAATTCCTGTGCAATCTGGCCGGCTGTTTCTTCTTCATTAACACCTACTGCTCTGTGGCCTTCCTGGCCGTCATCACTTACAACCGCTTCCAGGCAGTGACAAAGCCCATCAAGACTGCCCAGGCCACGACCCGCAAGCGTGGTATCACCTTGTCTGTGGTCATCTGGGTGGCCATTGTGGCCGCTGCATCCTACTTCTTCTTCCTGGACTCCACCAATACAGTACACAACAAGGACGGCACAGGCAACATCACTCGCTGTTTTGAGCATTACGATCAGGGAAGCATCCCAGTCCTCGTCGTCCACATCTTCCTTGTGTGCAGCTTCTTCATTGTCTTCCTCATCATCCTCTTCTGCAACCTGGTCATCATCCGCAGGCTGCTCAGACAGCCTGTGCATCTGCGGCACAAGGTCGCAGTCAAGCGCAGGGCGCTGTGGATGGTCTGCACGGTCTTGGCCGTGTTCATCATCTGCTTCGTGCCCCACCACATGGTGCAGCTGCCTTGGACCCTGGCCGAGCTCGGCTTCCAGAACATACACTTCCATCAGTTAATAAACGATGCACACCAGGTCACCCTCTGCCTCCTCAGCACCAACTGTGTCCTAGACCCCGTCATCTATTGCTTCCTCACCAAGAAATTCCGCAAGCACCTCACTGAAAAGTTCTATAGCATACGCGGCAGCCAGAAATGTTCCCGGGCCACCTCGGAGACAGGCACGGAAATGGTCATGCCACTCTGATGGAGGCTGCCTGTTCCTTCAAAAATTAGTCATGATGGCTGGGGCCAGACCAGAGGCTTCTTCTCTATGGACATCACAGACTGACCTGGGGATGGAAGGGGTGTTTACTGTGACCGGTATACCTTCTCCCTGGGCACTTGTGTTCCATCAGCAGTGGAGGGTACCTCACCACGGCAGGGATGATAACAGAGTCAGACTGCTTGGAAATCCAGGACTTGAAGAACCCCTTCAGCTGCCAGCAGCACAACGCATAATTACCTTGGCTGGTGTCCTCATCTTAAGCCTGCTAGTTCTGGGAGGAATGTCAGGACCACAAGGCCAGGGGCAGGCCTTGGAGTCACCCAGTCTGCCCCACAGGGCAGCAGCCCCAAATGAGTGTGGTCTTGAGCTTTGGGTAACAACTCCCAAGTGAGGAAGGCAGAGGACGGGGCTTTGAGAAAGGGACACTTTCCTGGCTGTGTGGTAGTTGGTATCTTTTGGGCAAACTCTTGAACGAGGATGGTACCACCTCCCTCCACCCATAGGCACATTTCTTGGGGACACTTCTGGGGCTAGTGGCAGGGTGGAACTTTCCCCCAACTTAATTAATCCAATCACCTGTTCTGAGTGGCACGTGAACAGAGTAGATAAAACATACATAGACCTGAAACTGAGATGTGGAGCTTATTTCCCGAGGCAGTCGTGTCTCTGCACAGGCCTCACATCCAGCTTGGGTCAGCTCTGGACGAGTGGGAACAACACAACCACCACCTCCACTTGTCTCCGCACTAGACCCTGAGGAAGTAATGGTCTCCGCAGTAAACCACCTCCTTCGGGGCAGCCACTCCCCATGACTGGGCGAATTTAAGCCATGCAGGACATCACCATGGGGCTTCCATGGCATGGCTGCTTAGGCTGAGACGCACCTGTGTGTGGAAGGAGCTGGAAGGTCCCCCGACCCTGGCCCTGCCTGGCACTCTGGGGGCTGCTTCTAACTTAACTTCCAGGAGTTGGGAGGAGCATGGAGTTACTTTGAATTCTGGGTGCAGAAGACAGGGGTCAGCTTCTCAAGGACCTCTAGATGTTGGCCAGTAATTTTCAGCAAATGTATTCAAGCAAGTCTCCTTGGAGCCTGAATCCAGCATCCACAGGCTGAACTTGGAAGTTGCAGACTGGGGGGCTTGGATGAGCCGCCCTTGGTCTATTCTAAGTAAGTCCAGCCAGTGTCCCCATAAAGTTCAGATCCTTATTTCCTGCCTACCGGGCAATTTTGATAAACACATCCCAACTGGCCAGCCACCTGGCTGGGTCTGGGATGACAGCTGTGCACTGGACTTGGATGATGGTCACCAGGTGGGCAGAGCAGTGTCCGTGAGCTTGGGTGTCAGACAGCCCCAGGTTTGCCATTTCCTGTCACGGGTCTGCGAGCTGGATTTCCTACCTCACAGGGTTGTTATGAACTGGGAATGCTGAGGCAGGTGCCTTGTGGTCATCGGCTCACCCCGGCTTCTCCCCTTTTTTTGTGAATTTGCTCATCTCTGTCCTCCTAGGCGGATGAGAGGTGAGCATCTGGCCCGTCATATTCTCTCAGGAATTGTCAAGCTCAGGAATGCTACCTTAAGCTCTGCAGGTTACATACCTGAAGACATAAAAGCTCTGGAGCTGTGAGTGTGTCAGGTGTGGGTCTGTCTGTCTTGGGGGTGGGGGTGGTGGTGGGGGAAGCTGGCCACCTGCTATGAACATGACAGGCCATGCATGGCTCTGCTCAGAATGGACATAGACACGGACACAGGAAAGTAGAGATGGGAGGGGCTGTTGACGCTCCTGCTCCAGACCAAGCCCTTCTGGAAGCTCAATGTCTGAGTTTCTTCTTTGGAATCCTGTGAGACTTCCTTAGTAGGCTGTGTTTTCTTACTTTGTTTAAGCTGATTTGAGTGGATATAGATGACAAGCAAAAGAATGCTGAATGAGATAAAGGTTTATATGCTAGAGCACCATGTTTCTTGGATTTCAGTGTACCTGCCTCACAGTTTTTGCAATATCTGCACACCGTCTGTATGTTTACTTAATAAAGTTTTCTTTAAATCGAGTCCCTTTTTAAAACTTAAATCTATTTTAAAGGATCCTTTAGAATTCAACTGCACTTAAACACTGAAAACACCTGCCACACCTAGGAGGCAAGCACAAACATAGATATTAAAATGTTTTGGGCATCTTGTCTCAAGATCCCAGGTGGCTAGGCACACTTCAAGAAACACAGCTGGGATGTGCATGAGGTGATACTGCATCCAGTAAGTGCTCAATAAAGAGTCAGTCTGTCAGTGCCAGAATGACCCCTTGCTTCTTCCTCAATGTTTCCCCAACACACAGGCCAGGGTCTCAATCCCCCCTGGCCCATGGAGGAGTGTCTTAGCATAAAACCCATACTTCAGGCCTGCTGCTCTCCCTGCCACTCAGATGCAGCTACCTTTACTTGGCCATGACCTCTGGTCGTGTCTGCTCGTAACCTCAGATGCACTTTCTCTCACACATGACACCTTCCACAGGCAGTTGTCCTGAATCCCTCCAGAGAGGGTAAATGCTTCTTCCTGGAAGCATTTTAGGACTAGCAGGATCTAACTTTTTAATTCCTTAATTACTATGGCATTTAAAGGAGCTCATTTCAGTATCTGTCTCCCCTGTCATGGAGGCAGGAAGTGAATCTTCTTTTAAAAAAAATATATTTATTTATGCATACAGAACTGTGGTACAGGCCATAGGTGTGGGGGGTGAGAGGATTCACCAGAGACAGAGTGAGGAGCAGAACAGGCAGATCTACTGAAATACACTGCTAAGGGGAGCAGTGGGTGGGTCAGGAAAGGTCTACCATATGGGTCAGCTCTCTGGCCTGGGATTAAACTCATGCTATGGTGGTGATAGTGCTAAGACTTAATGCTTAGGCTGCTAAGGAGGCCCTAGATTTGGCATTTCTGTGACACAAGTCATCTTTCCCTTCACATCTTACCAATAAGTCATCTTTCCATCCATCCGTCCATCCATCCATCCATCCGTCCGTCCATCCATCCATCCATCCATATCCAGGTAGCCAACACTCTAGAGTATCTATTTTGTTCTGGTAACTTAGCACAGCTTTTAGCTGTTATCTTACTGAAGCTTCACACCCTCCCCCAAAGCTGGATGATTCTATCCTCACAGCATGAGTAAAATAAATAAGGGCCCAAATTTGCTGAATAAGACAGTGGTTCCCTCTCAAGAACTTGCAACAGAAGGAAAAGGACCTACATTTTGTTGCCTCCCAGCTGTTTACTGGCCACTTTCACACATCTACTGTCAGAGTCCTCAAAACCACTCTACAGAGTGAATATTTTCATGCCCATTTTACAGGTGGGCAAGTTAGAGGGGGCAATGATTTGTAAAGGTCAAGGAGATAGCCAGTGTTAGAACAATATTCCAGCCCAGATCTGCCTTCCCTCCTATGGGAAAGTCTCTTCCCTTCTCTCCTCCCGCCATGTGACTGCACTCTTGCCCAAGACCCTCTGACTTTCTCTGCTTGGTGTGTGTTTGGTGAGGCGTCTCTTGAGAAAAGAAACAGCTGGTATTCCTCTATCTCGCTGACTGCAGTTTCCTTTCTTGGAGGGCTCTTTGCGCATGTGGGCAGAGGCTGATGTGGTCAGTTAGGGAGGAGGGCATGCCCAATGTGAGGTATAGTGATGCTGTGAAGGATGTCTGAAGCCAGAGTGGCATTCTTGTGAAGCTAGAAGATTATCTGGGGTTGTTCAAAGGTTATCTGGATCCTGACCTTTCGTACAGAGAGGGGAAGGGGTGCCCTGACCACTTAGGTGTGTCTGGTGCTGTGAGGGGCCTCCATATCACTATCTAGGAGTAGAATGTCTTCCTTCTGCCTGACTTGCTTTCTCCCCTGGAAGCTGTGTAATTTCTGCTCTCACCTCCTTCAAGGCTGTTTTCAAATGTTGCCGGTTGCTGTCTCTACAAGGCCTGCCTTGGTCACCTCACAGAAAGCAGAGTCAGAGAGAGAAGTGATTCCCCAAAGTCACCCAGTAACAGCAGGTCAGTCTGGCCACTCAGGCTTGTGCTTTCCATTCCTCCATGCTGATTTCCTCTGCAGACAGTCTTTGTGGTGTGGGCTGAGGAAGTCCTTGTCTTCCATGTTCCAGACAAGAAAACAAGTGTCAAGAGGTGAACTGGCAGAAGAACCAGTAGCAGAAGCTGCCATTGGTGGGATTATGCCTAAGTCAGAATCCTGCCTTCACAAGGAACCTAGTTATGCAAGTTTCTATTTCCCTAAATCCATATTTGGCACTGTTTATCTTTCAAATGCTGGATGTATGAAGTCAAATCTTGGTGTTAGTTTGACTTTCTCTTAAATTACCAATAGGTTTGTAAAAACATAGTTGCTTGTTATTTGAGTTTGAATTCAGATAATTCTGATTCCAAAGCCTGTGTGTGCAGTATTACAAAGAGGCCATTGAACAAAAAAGAAATAAAATAAAATGAACTGAAAAATAAAAAGATACTTTTTTAAAAGAGGCCATATTGTCAGGATTTAATTTCTGGCTTTATGTACTCTATGATTTGGGTAAGATTAACCTCTCTGGTCCTCTATTTCTTCATCCATCCAATGGGGATGATTTTACTGTTGATTTGTGGCCTTGAGGACTTAAAATTGTTTAGAATAGGTCAGAACAAGTACTAAGTAAATGTCTGATAGATTGTTGTTCTCTACACAGTCTCCCTTTTTAAATGTGTATATCTGTGTATATCATTTTAGCCCACAACCATAATACCCCTGTCTCTTTCCATGAAGTTCATATTGCGTAAGCCCAAATTTCCTTAAAAAAGTGAAACTAAGAAAGAGAAGAACAGAATGTGACTAATCTGAGCCCCCTTTTACTTAACTTCCTGGGTCGTCCTAAAGTATGTTCAAGAATGTTTTAGAATTGCCACAAGAGTTGGGGGTATTGTGGCCTTGGGATGATTTAGTTCTTTAAAAGGGAGGGCACTTATCAATAGGGTGAAAAGACAATCCACTGAAGACAAGTAACTACTTGTAACACATAATAAGGAATTGCTATATAGAATTTGTAAAGAAATCCTACAACAGCAATAAACCCAACAACTTAAAAATGGACAAATATTTGAATAGACATTTTTCCAAAGGGTCAATAAACTCATGAAAAGATTTTCAACATCACTAATCACTAGAGATATGCAACTGAAAACCTCAGTGAGATAAAGACAGAAAATCACAAGACTTGGCAATGGAATGAAGAATTGGAATCGTTATGCATCGCTGGTGGGAATGTAAAAGAGTGAAGCTGCAATGGAAACACTATGCAGTTCCTCAAAAACCTAAATATAGAATTACCACATGACCCAGTAATTGCATTTCAGGGGTATATGCCCCAAAGACTTAAAGGCAGAGACATGAGCAGACGTGTGTACACCAAGGTTCATAGCATCAATATTCACAGTAGTCAAAGCTAGAAGCAACCCATGTACCTCTTGAGGAATGAATGGATAAACAAAACATGGTATAGACACACAGTGGAATATTATTTTGCCTTGAAAAGGAAGGAAATTCTGACTCACACACACTTTTTTTTTTTTTTGGTGGAGGGGGGTGATACTATTTTACCTACCATAGACGGGCTGCTGGATTGCAAAGGCAACAAATATCTATTATCTGATTTGCCTCCTAACACTCTGGCAACTCTTGTATCTTTCACAGATTCACCTTCTTTCCTGACTTTAAATATTTTCTTAAAAATTGCCATTCTCCTTCTCATCCTTTAACCAGTACATATTCCATGTAGTCAGCCATATTACTTCTGTATCCCTCAAGAACTCTTCTGCTCCTGGAGTAGGTGCAATTCTCCCATTAAAACTCTCATTTATGGGCCCTCCCTGGTGGTGCAGCGGGTTAAAGCACAGCACTGAGAAGCTAAAGCCACTTCCGCATGAGTTCTATTCCCGCTTGTCCCGGAGGTGACCACATGGCGTGGCAGACCTCTCCTGGCCCGCCCACTGCTCCTCTCAGCAGTGTACTTCGTCAATCGGCCTGTTCTGCTCCCCACTCTGTCTCTGGTGAAGGCTCTCACCGCTCCTGAGCCTCTGGCCTGTACCCCAGTTCTCTATGCACAAATTAAAAAAAAAAAAACACTCATTTATGGAATATAAGAGGAAAAAGGCAAAAGAATAAAAGAAGCAGAAACAAGTCTCTAGACCCTATCAACAGAATGGTGATTACCAGAGTGGGAGAGGTGGAAGCAGGATAGAAGGAGCCAGTTGGTTGATGGTGGAAGTGACATTTGGTAGTGGGTGTGGTGTGGTGAGACAGATGCAGTTGCTGAAATAAGACAGTGTTCTGGCACCTAAACTAACTTTACTAACTGTAAATGTTACCTCAGTAAAAAGACATAGGAGGAGAAAAACCCAAAACAACACAATCTCAAAAACAAAACAAAACAAAAAAACAGACAACCAAACTCACTTCAGTGGATTGAATGCAAAGAATCTGAACCTTTCTTTACTTGTGAGGAATAGGGGGCAATCAGGGATTTTTTAAAAATTGAGGTCATGTTGTCTTAGTAAGCACAGTAAAAGTTATAGGAGTCCAAAGGAAAAAAAAAGTTATAGGAGTCCAGAGTCACAGATCTTCACATGGATGTTACCATAGGAAGCCCACCACCAAGCACCAACAACCTCCAACACAACCCACCCACATCCCCTTCAGTCCCCTTCCCCCACCAGGGCCCCTTGTCCGGAAAGCTAAGAGTCTCGGGTTCTGAGTGTGGTGATGAAGACCAAGTGAGATGAGTCAACTTGTTGGCTTGCTGCAAGGACTCAGCGTTGGCATGCTGCCATCCTTCCCACCTCATTGTCTTCAGACGTGACTGTCTTCACCCGCCTTTACCAGGTGGGAACGAGTGTGGGAGATGGGATTTTTGGGTGCAGTGATACTGCCCACAGCTTGGTTTGGCCCTTTTCCAAGCTGCATCTGATCTGTTCTGACAAGTGCAC